TGTACATTACATTTCAGCTCAACTGAGCGCTTTAAAATGTATTTTATTAACGATTAAAAATTTCACCAACATAAAGAAATGAAAAAAATAAACAAAAAAATAAAATATCTATATAGATCGTGAGCTAATAATAGGAATTGAAAGAGACGTAAGTTGGCGTCGAAAATTGATTTTCTGCCAAACTGTCCAAAACTGGTCTTTATTAAGAAAATGCAGACGATTCACGCTTTTTAGCATTTTTAATTAATATGTTTTCAAATAATCTTTATATATGTAATTCTTTTGTGCGTGTGTATGTAACTGAACTCCTCCTAAACGGCTGGACCGATTTTGATGAAAGTTTTTGTCTGTTCCAGTGGATTCGAGAATGGTTTAGAATTATAATTCGGCTTAGAAATGTTTATTTAATTAATTTTTTATTTATAAATTGTTGATCTTGGAATGTTTTACATTGGATCCGGCAGACTGGCTACGATCGCGGTATCGAATATTCAAAAATCTTTTATTATAAGTCAAGTTGGTCCGGACAGTTGGTGCTGTGATCATTTGAGGAAAATATTTTGTCACTTCGTGTTATTATTTTGTTGAAATAAATCGTGCGTTAATTAAATTATTACATTCAGATGTAATTAGTGTTTGAAATTTTACTCAATTTTACTCAAATTTTACTCAAAACGGTCCAGCAGATTGTTAAAGCTGTATATATATATATATATATATATATATATATATATATATATATATATATATATATATATATATATATATAAAGTAGAAAAGCGACTCACTCACTCACTGACTAATCACGATATCTCCGGAACTATTAAACCTAAAGACTTGAAATTTGGTAGGTAAGTTACTTTCATGGAGTAGACGTCAGCTAAGAACAGTCAGCTAAGTTTGAACCCCAAAGGGGCGTTACGGGTGTTTAAGGGGCGTTATAGATAATTCTTTCCATTACTAAACTATTAGATGTACAGTCGTGAGACTTGGCACACAGATTTTTTTCATAAAGTAGAGATTCCCTACATAATGGTTTTTACAAAAATCGACCTCCAAGGGGCGTTGAGGGCTCTTAAGAGGCGTTATACATATTTATTTCCAATTTTAAACTATTAGACGTACAGTCTTGAAGTTGAGAAGTGGATTTCCTTTCATAGAGTACAGATCCCCTACAGAATGGGTTTTGGGAAAATCGACCCCAAGTGGCGTTGTGGAGAATTAAACGGCGTTATAGGCAATTAACTCCTTTTTAAAACTATTAGACGTAAAATCTTGAAATTGAGTAAGCTGATTCCATTCTCTGAGTAGTGATCTGTCATAAGATGGGTTTTGTGAAAATCGTTTCCTAAAGGGCGTTGCGGCGGCTTAAGAGGCGTTATAGTTAATTATTTCCATTTTTAAACTATTAGACGTACAGTCTTAAAATTTGGTAAACGAATTCCTTTCATGTTGTAGAGATCCGCTACAAAATAGTTTTGGGGAAAATTGATCCCCAAAGGTCACTGAGGGGGATTAAGGGGGTAATAGATAAATATTTCCGCTTTTCAACTAACAGAACCACCTGCTTGAAAATTAGGTATGTTCCGTTCATGGAATAAAGTTCCTTTTACAAAGATTTTTGCGAACACGGACCCCCAAAGGAGTGGGGTTGCGAGGGATTAAGGCGTGTGATAGAAAAATTCCTGTTTTTGAATTTAACTCATTTACTTGAAATTTATTGAGCACTTTTCTTTAGTTGAATAGAGTTCCACTAAGAATGGATTTTACGGAAATCAACTCCAGGGGGAAGCGGGGAGAGTTATTGGAGCGTATTGATAGACCAAATTCCCGTTTTTGAACTGCTAAGACTATAAAAATAAGATTTGGTTTCCATGCTTCTTTTGTTGAATTGGAATCCGCTAAGAATGCTGTCAACGAGGTATTGATGATAAAAATTTCGTTTTTGATCTGTTTGATTTAGACTTGAAATTTAGCACGCATGTTTATTTTATGGAATAGAGATCCACTGAAAATTGGTTTGGTGGAAATCCACTTGATTATTAGGTTAAGTGAGCGAAAACAATCTTTCTACTTCTTTTTTAGATATAAATAGAAATTAGATATCATAATTTATGTTCTTTTTATATCAAGGGGTGAGAGTGTAACAGCTATAAATATATTTTTCAATACAATCGAATTCTTAATGCTAGATATCAATAATTAATATATATTTAAACAGTATACATATATACAACATCGTGAAATACCCAGGGAAGCGGGTGGGTAACGGCTAGTATACATATATTCAGCCTCTTCTTACATTGTATTAAAATACGGTTTTGAAAAGTTGAATTATACTGAAGTAGAATATAATCACATAAATCTCTCTAATAAAGTGATTTGCGGGTTTCAAAAGATTTCACATATATTTTTTTATAATCCTTAGAACAACTCTAGGTTTTATAAATGGAAGCTCCATATTAACGTTTTAGAAAAAGTAAGATTTCTTTACAAATTA